GTAAAAAGTGGCGTACGCAAGTTTCTGGGCTCAAATTGTGCGTACGTCAGTTTTATAAAACCGACCCCTGGTCTCCAGGCTCACAGCTAAAACACAATTTAAAGAACCTTAAAAGATTTATTTGTTCATCTTGTTCCCCTTCTCTCCCTCTCTCATTCTCTCTCTGTCTCTCATTCTTACACTGATACACACACACACATCCACACACATACACACCCTGACCCTGAATGTACATAAAATAACCTGTTTTGGTTAGTTAAAATTGTTAGACAAACTGCTTAATTAATTAGTTAAACTGCTTAAAAGCAGAAACCAATTGTGTTGGGAGCTCATTTATTGTTAAAACCATTGTAACCACTTGTTAATCATTCAATGTTACTATCTTTTAATAAAAGTCATTTAGTTTGTAACTGGCCAAAATAAAAGAACGACTTTGTGTGTTTTCTGTGTGTATTTTGGTGGTTGAATTGTTTTGTTTAACAGAGACCGTCTCGAACCGGGAGGGACACTCTTAATTAAAATCATGTTCATGATTTTAACGAGGGTTTCTCTGCATAAAAGACTTTAGTAATGTTTTCCTTTTACTATTGGCAGTTTCTAGTATCAAGTGACCTTGTGTTTTTTTTAAGATGGTAGAGATAAATTGATCCACMTTTGTACAACCAGTAGTTCTTCAGTAGATTTGCAGCTAACACAATCTTTCCTTTTTTCTCCACAAACTGTTTTTTCTCTGCAGTACTGCCTGTGCATGACTGAAGGCATCCTCCTGTTTTCATCTGAAGGCTCGCTCTTTTGCTTTAAGTCAAGAAAAAGTAAAGTCTGCCTTCACTGGTTGTGTCAGGCACTGGTTCTGGTAGCTGCAGCCATAGGACTGGGCTTCATCGTGGCCAGTAAAGACTTGTCTGAGCTGCCRCACCTGGTGTCCTGGCACAGCCTGCTGGGCTCCTGCACGCTGGCTTCCACCGTGCTCCAAGCAGGGTTTGGCCTCTGCCTGATCTTCCATAAGCAGCTGCGCCTCACGACCCCTCCACCCCGACTGAAGCTGTACCACACCACCTGTGGTCTGGTGGTCTACCTGCTGGCCACCATGACGGTCATATCTGCGATGTTCTCAGACTGGTACCAAGCCACGGTGAAAGGAGCAGTGTGGTGGGTCTTCCTTCTGCTGCCCCTCTTCCCCTCGCTGGTGGTCATGAATCAGATCACCAATGCCTACCTGCCCCGCAAGAAGATAACCAGCTAGTTTGCACTGGACGCAGAGCAGGTGGACTTCATTTGGACTGTGATAAAGTTGGWTTTACTCAGACAGAATGCTATTCACTGTTAACTCAATGAGGATTTTAAACAATTATTTTAAAATCAATTATTTTGGAATAAAATCTGTACTTTCAGACTTAATTTAGATACATACCTACTGAAGTCAGACACCATCCAGTGACTAGTGCAGGAACAGCAGAGTGAAAATTCTCATGTTTACCTGAGATGACCTCTGACCTCAGGCTCTGAGCTGCTTGTCTGTGAATGTCTGCTGCATCTTCTAGGAATCTTTGCACTATAGAAAACCAGTCTTATRTGGTGAGTTTTATCATTTGTAAATGTGTGGTGAGTGGGCTGCACAGTGCAGCACCTTTTATTTGTGGAGCAATAAAATGTTTAACACTTTCTGTATCTGTAAATGGAAAATTGTCTTGGTTTAAGATATGCTGATTATGTGGAGTTTCTTTAAATCTGTAAATCTATAACAAAATACAAGGGCCAATGGACTCATGAACAAAGAATATATATATATATATATAC